TCTTCCGGTGATGGTGGCTAACATTCATCGAGGGCTTCGACAGATTTCTGGTGCTTTTACACGGAGAGATAATGACAAACCGACTCAGATTCCTACCATTAAGGTGGAGCTTCCGTATATTTATTTGATGGCTTGGTTCGTCCTTCATCGTTCCGATGTGATGTCGGTACCGAATGCCATAGACCAGTCTGTTCCCTTTCTACAGCTGCTTGAGAATGGCGAGTGGGAGGGCCGAGGATTCCCCGATATCAGGCGTCAGCTACAAGTCCACAAGTGCTGGGCATTCTCCACTTGCTTCCCACAGTTCTCCAGCCGGTACGGCGAGTGTTTGATTGATGAGGAGAAGCCGAGGGAGTATAGGACTTATTTGGATATGGGCTGCTTTAATTGGCTAGTGAACATTAGGCCGGGTTACCTGACTTTCCGGGTGGGGAATCAGTGTTTTATAGAGCCGTATCTACCTTGCCGATTCGCCCGCAAATTCGGTTATGACCAACTTTATGTTGGGAGACTACAAACAAAAGTGATATCAAACTTCCTCTCTTCAGCAACATCATCCTCCTCTTCTCCAATTGAAGCAAACCCTCTAATCTGAAACTCTCATCTCTCAATTTTGATATTTCTTCCAAAGAGCAAGCGTTCTCATCGTATAAAACCTGGAGCTGGTCTCTGAAATTGGCATTTTCAACATGGCAATCCTTCACTTCGGCCTCAACTCTTTGAATCTGCCTATCCCTGAGCTTCAATTCACTCCTCAAGTTAAGTATTTCATCTCGTAGAATAGGAAATAGAGTAGAAGACACATTGCAGAGAGGTCTATCGAACCATTCCCACATTCCACAGCCACCATTAGGATTCTGACATTTATAAAACCTTCTCCCAGGATTTTCATCTGTAAATGATGTATAATACCCACAATCCATTCTACACTTACAGATTTTCATGCCAACCGTCCTTGCTTCCTCGTTCCACCTTCTAATACCTGCCAAAGAATTCAAACCATGATTATTACTTACATGCGATCCCAATTTTCCACTCACCCTGCTTGCTTTAGATCGAGAGCTTGAATGAGAGCTTGAACTTGATGCCGATGACATAGCTTCTTCTCTTCCAATGGCCCGCTGTCATAAACCCTAATTCCCAATTTCCCCTAATTCGATCCCTCTTTTATTCTCCCTGCCACGTCAGAATAGAGAGCCACATCAGCATCTTAAACACATATTAATCCCCCACGTGCAACGCACGTGATGAGTTTTCGCCGGAAAAGTGGCCGCCGACGAGAAAAAGGACCTAAATGGTACTTTTATTCAATTAAAATGTCTTATCGCTGAATTTCCTAATTAAAATACCTTGTTGGGAAATGGGGTTGAATTAAAATACCAATATGGGTATTTAGCCATATATATACTCTTTCTTATACTATACATGTATATATAAATATACTCTCTCTTATATATGTATAGTCTCTCTTATATAAGTATACACTCTCTTATATATGTATAATATATGTGTGTATATATATATACTCTCTCTCTCTCTTAGTATATATGTATATATAAGTATACTTTCTCTTATATATGTATAATATGTGTGTGTGTGTGTGTGTGTGTGTGTATACTCTCTCTCTCTTAGTATATATGTATATATAAGTATACTCTCTCTTATATAAGTATATATAGGTATACACTCTCTTATATATGTATAATATGTATACTCCCTCTTATAAAGGTATACTCTCTCTTATATATGTATACTCCCTCTTATATAAGTATACTCTCTCTTATATATGTATAATATGTGTGTGTATAATCTCTCTCTTAGTATATAAGTATAGTATATTACAACGGCTACTTCTTCCCCATTGGCTCAACGGGCAATGGCTACTTATGTGATTTTCTCTCTCAAGTTATAACTTATAAATATATACAATATATTTACATATAATATATGTATATATAATATATAATTACATAATAATTTGTAAGTATATACTAATACATAATTATATAAAATATAATAAATTTAAACTACTTTTAGCATTTTTTATCAAAAAAAAGAAAAGAAAAAATTTGAAAATTTGAAAAAAAAAATTTTAAAAGAAGAAAAAACCCGGGCCAGCCCGGAACCTGGCCCGGTCGGGCCCGGGTCCGGGTCCGGGCTCCGGTTTTGCCCAGCCCGGGCCCAGATTTCCGGGCCGGGCCGGCCCGGATGGACAGACCTACATAGAGGGTCAAATTTACTAAATAGCAGATATCCGACGTGGATTAATAGAGTGAAAAAATTATAACACTATCTATGAACAAACTTATTATGTAATAGCAATATTAAAAGATGATCTAATATTAGAGATGAGAGACGCATCTTTGCTCAATTTACACTAAGGTTCAAGCTATTTAAGGAAATGCTAATTAATAAGAGCTTTCGCAAATAAATTTCTTAAACTTAAAACTAAAATTGAGAGTTTGGGTGTAGAGTTTTGTGCGTTGGTTTTGCAAATTAGCAAAACATGCACAAAAAACTGAATATATATATAATATAGGAGGACCCAAGAATCACTGTTCATGCTGTAGTAAATATTACAGTAAATTACTGTAGCAATTTATATATATTATATATAATATTATATATGTATTATATATTATAATATATAATATAATATATATGTATATATAATATATAATATATTATATATATATAATATTTAATATATCTATAATATATATATATATATATATAGACATGTTTGAATGATGGAGATATATCATGCGAAAGGACTTGTCACTTGTTAAAGTTTCGTGATAATTATAAGAGAGGCTGATTATGTCATTCATATGCATTTTATCAATCTCTAGTTCACAAGTTAGCATTAAATCATTGCGATAGCATTTCCATAGAAATCTCTTCCATCTTTAGTGTCATCCCAAGCACTTCGTTTCTTAGAAATAGAAGTCAAATGGTTGGAAGGAGAGGAAGAGAGAAATAAATAAAAAAAATTATAACATACAAAATGAGTAATTAATTAGAAGGTAAAAAAGCCAAAGCTTTAGAAGATATCACTTTAGTAATTAGGGCTTATTTATAATAAAAATATAACATTTATTTTGGATGCATGTAAATATGCTGGTTGTAGTATTTATTTAATGTTTTTTCTGAAATCATGGTAAGAAAGCTTATTTTGTACTTTTAAAAGTTTATTTTGTACTTTTTATTGTAACATCAAAATGATAATACAATTTGCCTAATGCATTCCTAATCGTGCCCCTATTTCATGATATTAACATCATAGATTTTTTTTGATACAATGTGTTTTCAAATTATACCGTGAAATACGTTTAGGGGGTTGAATTTTAAAAATATTTAATCTAATGAGATTTTAAAATACATTTGTTCATTTTAGTCTTTTTATAATACATTTTAAAATTTGAGTGATCCCAAATTGATTGTACCAAATTATCTCATTTCTACAATAATCAAGTTTCAAAACATACATTTAGGGGGTTGAATTTTAAAAATATTTAATCTAATGAGATTTTAAAATACATTTGTTTATTTTAGTCTTTTTATAATACATTTTAAAATTTGAGTGATCCCAAATTGATTGTACCAATTTAAATTGTACCAAATTGTCTCATTTCTACAATAATCAAGTTTCAAAACATATTTTTAAAATTCTAATTGAATTATAGAGGAACATACCATGTTAACACGTGCTTGAGCAAATTTGATCCTTGAAAGAAGTTGACATCATGTGCTTTGTTAAATTTTCTATTCTAATCCAAGTGGAGTTCTAGTTGACCTTTTCTTTTGTAATTGTATGGTTTGATTTAGTAAGTATTATGGTGAGTGGAAGAAAATGTATGAGCTAATTTACACTCAAGAGATGAAAGAGAAATTATATAAAAATAAAAAGGGTTGTTTGTAGTTAATTGGTTCATAGTTTATGCATTGATTCAAATTGAATTTTAAAAGTCTAAACTCTACATCTTGTTATTATAATTATTTGATTAACTTTGTCTTATACTATTTTGTGACTAATTGAGAAGAAATTCATAGTCTTGAGTTGAAATTTTTGACTAATTATCAGTCAGTGTTCAAAAGACCCAAAGCAATAAAGAATAAAGTACATCATTCTCTAATTTTATATTATGTAGTTTCTACAAAACTCTGGTCCTCCCATGGTTTAAACTTTGATGTCCCTCCAATACAGTTGTTTCAACTTCTTAGAGAGAAGAGTTGCAAGCCCCCCCGACATGCAACTAAGATAGACCGAAAAGTGAACATTGACATTCTAAAATTCTAAATATAGACATAACCATTTGTATGTAGTATTAGATTATAAACTATTGATAATGATTTTATTCTTGACCAAATATTCTTAGGGAGAGTAGGAGGTGCATTTAATAAAGAGTTATGGATAATTATTTAAAGATTAATTATAATCAATGGTATAATTGTGAATTATCAAAATTTAAAAGGGTAAAATAGGAAATTAAAAGTTTTGACATGGGTATTCTCTTTTATAAATAGTATAGATATAGATATGTATACTTATATTAAATTATTGTCTCATATAATCTATTGTGGGCCTTCCTTAATCGCACACATTGCATTGCATTTTGTTCATATGCATTTAAGGGTCGTGCAACTATGCCCCCAAAGACTTTCAAAGGACTAAATCCCCAATACCTTTTGCATAAAACTCTCTGTCTTCAATGCAAATTACACTAAACCCCCAAAAAACTTTCAAAATGCTTTTCTATGTTGTTTTTGGGCTCAAATGTATGGGGGTTATCTACAAAATGTGGAAACTTGGTGGGGGATCTCTGCAATTTCAAAAGTAACTGGGAGTTTATTATGATTTTGAAAATGTTTTGCAGATTTAATGCAAAAAGCTAAAAGTTCCCAAGGGTTTAGTGTAATTTACCCACATATTTAAACCCCTTTTCTTAGAATATGCCAAAACGCCCCCTCGAAACTCTATAAAGGGAGTCATCTCCAAAAGAAGGAGAGGGGGTAAAATCGTACACCAGCCATAAAAGGATCTTATAAGAACACAGCAAGAGCGGCACTAGCTACTCTCATTCGAATCTTCGTCCAGTTCCCGCGCTATTTCCCTCAATTTCATCTCTTTCTCTCTCTGATCTCCGACGAGCTAGGGTTTCGAATTTTACAATCTCGGCCGTTTCACTTCAATTCTCGATGTCTTCATCGAAAGCAAGCGCTAAGAGGAGGGCGAAGGGCGCGGAGTCGCTCAGATCGGAGAAGAAAAGGCGGATCGAGGACGATCTCGAGGACGATCCGGATCTTTCAAGGTCTAATCTCGATTCTCTTCCTTAGATCTTTAATTTCTTTTAAAGGTTTTTACTCGTTGTTATGGCATAATCGGTCTTAATTGATGGTGATTACAGTGATATCAAAGGAATTATGATGGCGCTGCAGAGCATCAAGGAGAAGACGAAGAAAGAAGAGCAGCAGAAGAGTGAGGAGACGATTTCGAGGTAATTTCTACTCTTTTTGTGTTTAGATCTGAGGCGATCTTGAAGAGATCGTAGTTCGATTTGAGATTTTACTGATTTTACTTTTTGTTGATGTGTTTGTGCTTCTGATTGCTTGTGACCTGAGATTTTAGGGTTTGAGATTGATAAATTAGCTCGAATTCTTTTCTTTTAAGATCTAAAGCAAGACTGTGAAGCTTCAGCGAGGTTCTGGTCTCGATTCAACCAGTTCTATTTATCACATTCATTTTTTTCTATTTTAATTTAATTTGAGAATTTATACTCGAAATTTAGTGATTTCCATAATTGGAAAGAATGAAATTAGTATGGGAACTGCTGATCTGCTCTCAAACACTATTTTTGGTTCAGAATTGATTTTCCTTTTTTGCAAGTTTTGGAAAATTTTGATGCTAATATTTCTTTTTTCCCCCCTTTTTTCCCGGCAGTGTGACATCAGATATTCGGTCTATGTTGGAGGTTGTCAAGACAAAAATTGAGAAGGAAAGGTAAGAGGTTTTCCATCCTACTATTTGATCATTGACTGGTCTATTGCGTAGTATAGTGAAAATGGCCGCTTTCTTTACATTTTTAGGAGATCGGCAATTACATTTAGAATGATGGATAGACTATATTATTTGTGTCATTAAAACTTGAGAGGAGAAAGTTTCTTGTATATTACATTTATGTTGGTAGCATCAACTTGTTAATTTCATCGTCTCCTCCATCATATCTTTCCTTACATTATATCATCGTCTCCTCCATCGTACCTTTCCTTACATTATTTTCAATCACATGAATTTGAAAGAAAACAGAACACTAGGAACAAGAATATCTTGTTAAAGCTTCTATAGATTGTAATGAGGTATAATAGATTAGTAGCGCTGGGTAGATAGCATAAACATTTGTATATAAGGCAGGCCCTTGCTGTTGATTTTCTGTTTCCTTGAAAATTTTGAATTTTCTGGCCCCAGTCAGTTGTATGAAGAGCTTTGGTTTTCTTTTTTCTTTTTTCCAATTCTGTTGTACCTATTCCTGAGTGTCTATTATTAATCTAATCTAAGAATCACTCTTGATGCATTCATGTGCCTTCTTCTATTGACAGGCAGACTTTTCTGAAGGCCCTTTCAAAAAGCGCCAAAGAGGTGTTCTGACATGATATATTGAACTTTAAAATAGATTGCACAAATTTATTCTTAAGAATTGTCTAATCTGCAATTCTTTTTTGGTTCTATAACCTGCAAAAAATTGCAGTGTGAGAGTACTTTGAAGAACGAGTATTCCAAGTTTCAAGCAGCTTATGAGAGATTCTCAAAGGACAAAGCAGCACATCTGCAAACTGCTAAAGGTACTTGTCATTCTTTTGTGCTGGCTTTTGTTATCATCTTAGGCATTCTTTGCAACTGTAATGCTTGGCGATAATGTCCTGGATTACTTGATTGACATGTAGGCTTCTGGTTCATAAATGAAAGCCTATTGGAATAAAAATGCAAAAAAATATGCTCAGGTCCCTAGATGCCATACATTTTTTTTTCAGTAAAATTGCCAGATGAGAACTAAAATTCTATATATCATATGCAGGGAAGTGAGAACATTAGCATAATTATCTGATATGTTATCATATCTTCAGTGCATGATTGACACGTCCAACTCACTCGTACTTAAACTTTGCAACATTAATTGACTACTAAGAAGATAAGTGAGTTCATGATTGCTATCTGGCAGATGCCATATACAAAATTTGCTGGTTCTCTCGAAACTTCCAAAATTTTCTGTCTGACGAAAAACTTCTATAAGCTCTACAGTGAAGATCTTAAATGCTTTTGTAAGATAAATAACCTGATTCTTATGTGATTTAACAGCTGATTAGGTTCCCTAATCATCATTACCGATATGCATGCGAGCTTAGATCTACTAAATATAGTAGAAACTGTATGCATGAATGTGACTTGATCCAGTGTTTTTTAGGAACAGTCCTGCTAACCTGTAACTTCTCAGAATTAACACTGTAAAATATTAAGTTTTCATTCTGCAGTGACCTTAGAGAATTCCAGTGCTTATTGCATTATTTACTTTACATTATGAGTCAGGAAGCAAATTAAGAATGCCCCATTGGAAATCCTTGTTTTAAGAAATAGTTATTTGCCTTTGAAGGTTTTGATTTTTAGCATTTTTCAGATGTCTTTTCCAAGTATGAAGAGGAGAAGGAAAAGTTATTTCACCGCTATGACCAGCAAAGTAAGAATTTTGATCCCCTTGTCATCCTAGCTAGAATTCATCACTCGTATAAGATGCTGATCTGTCTTTTTCGTTGGTTTCCAGGGAAGAAAGAGAAGGCTGCACTCTCTGAAATTGAGAAGACGTGTGCAGATAAGATTGCTAATGCAGAGGAAACTCTGAAAAAGAAGAAGCAGGTATCTTCCTCACATAGAAGTTTAAGTTGAGTAGTTTGTCAATTGATTTCTTTTACCGCTTGGATTTCTATTTTCATTCTTAATACGAGGGGAATATTTGGGCCACAATTGATAGTACTATGCCATTCTTTATGCTGAGCGTTAAATTAACATACTGATGTTTTTCTAAATCGAAGATAATTTTATCCGATAATCGGTTTAATTTGCTACAATGCAGGGGTAATGAGGATTTTGGATGCACATCTTTCTAAGACTTTTTTTTTTCCTCTCTCATTTTTACTTTCTAGTTCATAAGTTTCTTGTTGGTCATTGTTTCATCATATGAACATTTAAATCTATCCACATTGCATTTGAGAAAGAATATATAAACACCTAATGGCGAACTTTATTCCCTTTTGGATTTTTCATTTAAAAGTTTTATTAATCTCCTTTTCCTTTTCGTTTCTGGTAAGTTTCATTAATCCTACTAATGCTCTGCTGTATTTTTAACTTGTAATTGCAGGACAACAAAAACTTCAGCTTCTTGCGTAAATCTCTGGGTTCAATTTTTGAGGGCTCTGATGATGATTTTGATCATGATGATTGAGGCTTCATTTTTCCTTTGCTGCAGTATCTTTCCCTTCCTTTACTTGCAAATTGCATAAGTCATAGTTTCTTGCATCCTTTTGTAACTAGCAACTTGATTTCCTCTGTGCATCAAGCATCGGCGGCACATTTACACTTCTCGTTCTATTGGTCCCCGAGATAATGCTTCTTAGGCTCATAGCTTTGATTGCTACGCTCTGCTTCTATATCTAAAGTTTCAGCGCAGATCGTTTTATTTCTGATAAATTGTAGTAGAACTCAATGGTTTTGAGCATCTTATATCTTGTATATGATCAATATATCTATGTGTTCTGCTATATGTAGCCCCCTTTACAGAACCCTACTTCCACACTAGATTTTGTTTGCAAGTGTTATATACTCGATATAAAAAAAGTTGATTTGTCATCCTAATAACAATACTGCTGAGGGTTTGTTGAGCTGCTTGTGAATTAATAGCCTGAAACATCGACGAGCAGAATCCCTGCAAAAATTAGAAACCCCAATGTCTTGGCTTTCTCAGATTTTCTTTGCAAGCGTTACGCTGGTAGGACACGAGGAGAGAAGCAAAAGCTTCTTCCTCAATTTAAGCACCAAGATTAACAAACGGGTCCATAAAGAATTAGAATAGTGTTGCGGATAGTCGTCGCTGTTTGGCTCAGAAGCCTGTTCAACCAGTCCTCGTTCTTCCTTCACAGTGCACCACCAAGGACCAAAAGGAGAGCTCGCAGATCTCCTTCACCAGTTACTCACAAAGGGGATCGCACAAAGGGGTTGAGAGCACAAAGCTCACAGGAGCACAAACTCGCAGAAAAGGGGGAGATCGCACACAGCAGAGGGAAGCTCAAGCTCAGATCTTCTCCTCACTGTCTCTTCTTCCTCTTCATCCCTCTCAACTCTCTCTTTATCATGGGTTCATCCGACAGGAAGAGATGGGCTAGAGAAGAAAAACGGAGGGAGCCGACCTATGGATGGGCTAGGGCATGGAAAATGGGAGCCGGCATCAGAGAGAGAACGAAGGAAATAAAGTCAGCAGCAGAAGACAAAGGGTGAAAAAATGGGAACTGGGCCTAGTAGCATGGGCCAGTATATTTGGGCCAACTAAAATATCAACAATCTCCACCTTTGGCCCAAGGTAGTGCACAGAGAAACAACACGGAACTGCAGGACTCATCATCGCCAAATTATTACTTGTATGATCACAAAGAAGATACAAGCAATGGTAGAGAATACACAAAGTAAACTCTAGATCACAAAGATCGGGGTAAGATCACCAAGCATACCAAGTCCACAAAGGACCGAACTCTACCAAACGGTCATCGAGTTCAAAGGGGAAAAAATCACAAAGCTACTAACAAGCACAAAGCAAGTTAATAGGCCACAAAGCAAAGGGAGAAAATTACCCAAGCACAAAGCAAAAAACACAAAGCAGGTTAATAGGCCACAAAGGCAACACACAAAGCAAAGGAAAATTACCCAAAATCAAAATTCAAGATTCTTTGACACGATATAAATTTTTCAGCAGGCAAACACTTAGTACCCATGTCAGCAGGATTAAATTCTGAGGGAATTTTCTCTAACTTGACAATACCCTTTTCAACTATATCCCGAATGTAATGAAATCTAACATCAATATGTTTAGTTCTATCATGAAAAACAGGATTTTTGCAAAGTTGAATAGCAGATTGACTATCAGAAAATACAACCACATTTTTATCAAGAAAACCAATTTCAGATATAAGGCCCCTAAGCCAAATAGCTTCTTTAAAAGCTTCAGTGGCAGCAACATACTCAGATTCAGTAGTAGATAAAGCAACAATGGGTTGTAATTGGGATTTCCAACTTATGCAAGAGCCACACAAAGTAAACACATAGGAAGTGGTAGATTTTCTATTATCCCTATCATTTGCATAATTAGAATCTACATAGCCAGCAAGTTTGACACCTTCAGAACACTTAGAAAAGGTTAATCCTACATCCACAGAGGATTTCAAATATCTTAAAAGCCACTTCAAGGCATTCCAATGAGGCATACCAGGGTTTGACATATATCTACTCAAGCAACTAACCGCATATGCAATGTCAGGCCTAGTACTAACCATGAGATACATGACAGATCCTATAGCATTCGAATATGGCACCTTCTTCATATCATTTATTTCAGTTTCAGTATTGGGAGATTGATCCTTACTTAACACAAAATGGGAAGCAAGAGGCACATTCACAGATTTGGCATTAGACATAGCAAATTTACTCAAAATTTTTTCAACATATGAACTTTGGTTTAAAACTAGAGTAGATTTGTTTTTGTCCCTAATAATATTCATGCCTAGGATTCTTTTAGCATCACCTAAGTCTTTCATGTCAAAATTTTCACAAAGACAATTTTGAACATGCTCAATAGACTTCAAACAAGGACTAACAATCAACATGTCATCCACATAAATTACAAGAAATACAGGCACAGAGTCTATATTCTTATAATACAGGCAATGATCAGCAGAACTCCTTTTAAACTTTAAAGATTGCATGCATTTATCAAATCTAATATTCCATTGCCTAGGTGATTGTTTTAAACCATACAAAGCCTTTTTTAACAAACACACATGATCAGGCAATTTAGGGTCCACAAAGCCCTCAGGTTGGTGCATATAAATATTTTTATCAAGATCACCATGCAAGAAAGCAGTAGTTACATCCATTTGTTTTAATTCCCAATTAAAATGAGCAACTAAAGCAAGCATAATTCTAACAGTAGTGAATTTGACAACAGGAGCAAAAATTTCAGCATAATCAATTCCCTCCTTTTGAGTAAATCCCTTAGCTACTAACCTAGCCTTAAACCTAACACTTTCAGATTCTTGTTTCACCTTAAACAGCCACTTACAGTCCACTACAGAACAACTAGCAGGTTTAGGAACAAGTTTCCATGTTTGGTTAATTTTTAGGGATTCCATCTCACTCTTCATAGCACTAATCCATTCTTCAGAATATTTTGACCTTAATGCTTCTTTATAAGTCTTAGGTTCATTGCACTCAAGGGATTCAAACACATTAAAGGCAAACTCAGACATATTACAATCAATCAAATTGCAATCTCTATATCTTTCAGGTTTCCTAATGGTTCTTTTATTTCTATCCCTAGTGAGTTGATAATCATTCAAATCATGCATGTTATCTATTTCCTGCATATCATGCTCCACCTCATTTGGAATAATCTCATCTTGATTTTCAATAATTATATCATTCAATTTTTCTTCAGGAAATGATTTGGGTTGATTAATAATAGGCTTTTGCTCCACCTCATTTGGAGCATCATTTTCAGGAATAGGAACATGTAAAGGTAAACAAGGAAATTCATTTTCATTAAAGACAACGTCTCTGCTTATCACTACCTTAAACCCCGGTTCACTCTTATTCCAAAGCCTATAACCTTTTACCCCTTCAGGATATCCTAAGAAAACACATTTCTTAGATCTAGGTTCTAACTTATCAATCTTTTGATGCACATAGCCAGCACTCCCGAAAATTCTCAAATTATTTAAATCAAGAGGTTTGCCCGTGAACACAAATTCAGGGCATTTCCCTCCTAAGGGAACAGAAGGAGACCTATTAATCAAATAGGCCGCAGTACAAACAGCTTCTCCCCAGAACTTCTTGGAGAGCCCAGATGTGGCCAACATAGCCCTCACCCTCTCTAAGAGAGTTCTATTCATCCTTTCAGCAACCCCATTAATCAAGCACAGGTTCAGCATGACAAATATACAAATTGTTTTGTTTTTCAGCAGTAAAAACAACAAGAGACCCTTTTTGAATTTTCATAACCCCTTTACCCCATTTTCCCTCCAAACCATCATTTTCTAGAGATGCACAAGAAATCAAGTTATAACGTAAATCAGGAACATGCCTAACATCCTTCAAAGTAAACACAGAACCAGAGGAAAACCTAAGGCATACATCACCAGTTCCTAAAACATTGCATTTCTTTTCATTTGCCATTGACACAAAGCCATTCTCTATTTTCTTGTAGTTTGAAAACAAGGTTTTAAAAGGAGTCATATGAAAAGTACAACCAGAGTCTACTAACCAATCTGATTTACACAAAGGATCAGATAACACAGAGTTCAAATATGCATAATCACACAGATTATTAATCATGAAAATCTCACCCATTTTGCCCTCACAGACAGCCATATTAGCATGTTCATTTTGCTGATTTTTCTTAGGCTTAGGACAATCTTTAATAAAGTGACCAGTTTCATGACAATTATAGCATTTTTTAGCTTTAAACCTGGACTTAGATCTACCTCTTCCATTTTCAAATTTTTTCTTACTTGATTCCCCATTACTAGCATTCTTTTGGTAATTAGACCTATTCTGAGGCCTACCCCTCACATGCATAACCTCACCAGAATTTTTATTTCCCCCAGAATGTTTTAAATCTAATTCCTTACTCTTAAGACCATTGACCACAACATCAAGGGTAACCTCATCTCTACCATATTTAATAGCAGATTTCACATCACTATATGAGTCAGGAATAGCATTTAGAAGGGCAATAGGAGTATAATCATCTATATGTTTATCACCAGTTAACTTAATATCTGAAATAAGTTTTGTGAAAACATCTAGGTTCTCCTCAATGTCCTTAGACATATCCAATCTAAATTTGAAAAAATTTTCAAGCAAAAACATTTTACTGGGCAAAGAGGTTTCAGTATAGAGTTCTTCAAGTTTATCCCAAAGAGTTTTAGCACAGTCCAAAATTCCAACTTTTCTAATCACAGAGTCAGATAAGTTCAAATAAATTGTGGAACAAGCATTTTCGTTCATTTCCGCCTGTTTATTTTCAGTGTCAGAGGTTAAATAAGTCTGACCAACAGCCCTAACGGACTTCTGTTGAATTAAGATGCATTTTATTTTTTGTTTCCAAATGCTAAAATCAGATTTTTCCGTTGAACGGAGCCATACCATATTGGATCATACTATATTGATTAGCAGCAGACATTTTTTCACACAGAAAAAACAAACAGCAACAACAAAAAAAATGAACAAATCTGATTTCGGTAATTATCCGGCTCAAAAAACGTGTGAAGCAACTAGCACGAACAAATGAGAAGAACGATGAACACAGAGTTCTTGTTTCACTCTCTTTGGTCTTTCACACGAGCACAAACAATAACAAAAAATACAGAATTTTTTACTGTAAATTTTCAACAAGGTCAGAGCACCACAGCGGAAAGAAAAAAAAAACACAGGCAAGAAAAAAAAAATTCTGTCAATTCTCCTGAGCGAAAACAGATTTCGAAGGAAAAAAGAAAATGGTAACAGTTGGGTTTTCCGATGATATACCAGAGCGAAACCCTAGGAGAGGGTCTCGACCTTACCCACGCCCTTGCGGCGGTCCGGCGGCTGTCCGGCGGCTGTCCGGCGGCTGTCCGGGGCTTCCATGCGTCGGCGACGACTCCACCACGCTCTGATACCACTGTAGAGGATCGTCGTCGCTTGTTTGGCTCAGAAACCTGCCGAAATCAGTCCTGTTCTTCCTTCACAGTGCACCACCAAGAACACAAAGGGAGAGTTCACTGATCTCCTCTGATTTCACTCACAAAGAGGAAAGGGATTGCACAAAGGGGTGAGAGCACAAAGCTCACAGGAGGGGGATCGCACAAAGCTCACAGAAGGGAGATCGCACAAAGCTAGAGGAGGGCTCAAGCTCAGCTTTTCCACTCTGTCTTCTTCTTCCTCTTCATCCCTCTCAACTCTCTCTTTATCATGGGTTCATCCGACAGGAAGAGATGGGCTAGAGAAGAAAAACGGAGGGAGCCGACCTATGGATGGGCTAGGGCATGGAAAATGGGAGCCGGCATCAGAGAGAGAACGAAGGAAATAAAGTCAGCAGCAGAAGACAAAGGGTGAAAAAATGGGAACTGGGCCTAGTAGCATGGGCCAGTATATTTGGGCCAACTAAAATATCAACAAATAGTGAACTCCCCTTCCCATTCTGCAATCATATATATTTTTAGTCTTTCATTGTAGTTTCATTAGCATATCACAAGGTTTAAAAAAAACATCTCCGATTCCACCAGCAGCAAGTTTATAAGAAGGCATTTTTTTTCCTTATTTCTTTTTGAGTTTAGACACAATAGTTTTTTTTTCCTATGATTCATTTTTGAAGATACTCTATCAAAACTACGCAGAACATCAAAAATTCATATCCTCAACTAACTAGCATTAACATACAAATAAATTTCACTAAAAGAAAATTCGTGTAAAAACTAGAGTAATGTGCTAATAGCTTCATTTGAAAACTTCCCCATAATCTATCATCTACAAGGTCTAAAGCTGCTTTCCATAAAATGTTATTTTCTTTATGTTTCTTCATTTGGTTGTCAGATCATCCTCAATCTCAGATAACCAAATAAATAAATAAAGAAATAAATAAATAAATAAAAGCGTTCCTCGCACTATCATCATTGTAGAAAGCCACTCTTCTTACCCCATCCCATAGCAATGATATAGAGACCTACACAACCTCCGACGGTACCAAAAGTAGTTTGCCAGAATTTGATATTAGGTGCATCGTAGAGGCTGATCGAGATGTTCATTCCGAATAGACTCACCACCACGATGCCTGCGGTGAGTACCAGTGTCGCTGTGCTCAACATCACTCCCATCTGCAGCAGTTGGTTCTGCTTGTCATCAAGCATGATGTTGATGTAGTCCTCGGTGTCATCTACGTACTCCCTGAGCTGTATGCATGCACAAAGGTATGAGATGTATTTAGTAATGTTTGCAAAAAATTGTACAAGTTAATTACAAATACATCCCCGATTTTGCATTTTCTTGAAAACCCAAAAACAGTAGCAAATTATCCTCTTCATGGTAATCACTAATAAATCATCTTTTAGTCTTCCTAATTGGACAAGCTATGTCACGCCCCGAAATTGCAGCGGAAATTTATAAATACGGATTACGCGACAGCGGCGACCCATGCATAAGACAAGTCACATGCACAAGTCAAGCCTGACACTGCTTTTCTAATGAAAATATATAAACCTACTGACAATAGAAATTTAGAGCAACTATATATGTGTGAGAGAAAAATAGGTATGTTTGGTACCAAGCACAAATTTTATGATGGGTAGTGAGGTGTCTCATTCTCATCCACTCATTCTAATTCTCAACCGCTCCTCAACCCATGTGAATGTGGGCTCTGATTTCAATAACTGAAGGGGAATATGTCACCTTACTACCAAGCACAAAAACTTGTGCTTGGTAATAAGTATACTCATTTCTCTCTCTCTCTCTCTTTCTCTCTCTCTCTCTCTCTCTCTCTCTCTATATATATATATATATATATATATATATATAATATATGAGAAAATAAATGGCCGCTATGTTTGATACAAGGCACAAGAAAATAATGCTTAGGATAGTTGACGGTGTCACATTCCCTCCACTCATGAATCGGGCGCTACACTCACATGTAGTTGGGGGGGTTTGTTGGGAATGATCAATGAGTGGATGATGAATTGATGACCCTCATACTACAGCACCAAATTAGTGATCTAGGTACCAAAGCAATACTTCATTTCTCATCTTCTCATCTCTCTCTCTCTATAATATATATATATATAATATACTTATATATATATATATATATAATATATATATATTATTCTCTCTCTCTCTCATCTCTCTCTCTCTATATTATATATATATATTATATATATATAATATATATATATAGTTATATAATATATAATTATATATATATATAGAAATAAAAGGTAGTGCTTGGTAGTGAGGTGGTATTAATCTCTTCAACTATTCAAATAGTTACATATTCCACTGTACTCCTCAACCTCATGTGACATGTGGTCTTCCATTGAACCAGTAGAGCGGGATTGTGCCACTTCCTCCCAAGCACAAATTTGTGTTGGTACCAAAGTCATACCTCCATTTTTCCTCACATATAATATATATATTATATATATTATTATATATATATATATAATATATATATATATTATATATGCTCTGAATTTCTATCACAGCAGGTTTATATATTTTTATTAGAAAGTGTGTGATATGAAGTGTCAGGCTGACTCGTGCGCGAGAATTGTCTTGTACATGAGTCACTGTGTCGCGTAAACTTGTTTGATAAAATGATATATGAGAAAAAATGGGTTATGTTTGATACAAGCGCACGAAAATAATGCTTGGATAGTGAGCGTGTCACATATCCCCTCCACTCATTGAAATCGAGGACCTTACACTCACATGATGTTGGGGAGTGTTGGGATGATCACATGAGTGGATGAGAATGAGACACCTCACTATCAAGCACCAAATTGTGATTAGGTGACCAAGCAATACTCATTTCTCTCTCTCTCTCTCTTCTGCTATAATATATATATATATAATATACTATATATATTATATATAATATATATATATATATATTTATTCTCTCTCTCTCTCATCTTCTCTCTCTCTATATATATATATATATGATATAATATATATATATATATATTATATAACTATATATATAGTATATACTATATTATATAGAAATAAAAGGTAAGTTGGCTTGTGTAGGTGGTATAATCTCTTTGCACTCATTCAAATAGTTACATATTTCCTATGTACTCCTCAACCCTGTTGAATGTGTCTTCATATTGAACGATGTAGAGGGGATTGTGCATTCACTCCCAAGCACAAAATTTGTGTTGGTACCAAAGCAACTCATATTTCTATCACATATATATATATATTATATATAATATATATATATATATATATATATATAATATTATATATATATGCTTCTGAATTTCTATCATCGCAGGTTTTATATAATTTTTATTTTAGAAAAGCTGTTGTGATATGAAGTGTCAGGCTTGATCGTGCCGCGAGAATTGTCTTGTACATGAGTCACTGTTGTCGCGTAAACTTGTTTGTATATAAATTTCGTTGTAATTTCGGGGCGTGACAAGCAACTATCAAAATTTGAGAATCAATGCTGAAAGCCAATGTAGGAAACCAGCACCAAAAGCACATATTTTCAAATTGATAATCTAAAAGGCTACATCACGAAGCAACACCAACTCAGTATTCTTTAGGTGTTCCATTTATATTCGTAGAAATCAATGTACTTTTGAACCTTTCTTCTATCCAATTTAAGCTTCTGGTCCCTGCTCTGAAATCCTTCCCTTTCCATATACCGACTACCAAGCACCTTTTAGTTTACCACCCATAGCAGACGCGCATAGGTCCTCAAAAAAAAATAGCATAGCTTTATTCTTAATTATATATATATATATATATATATATGGTATATATACTTATATATTCAAGAAAAACTTATGTCACTTTAAGTGACGATCCACCAAACTTCTTACATTTTAGATATTTCCTACGGATGCCTGCATGATACTTGAAGTGACTTTTTAATACATATATGAGTGGATATAAAGTTGTGGAAAATGGCTCTTTGTCAACTTAGTTACTAGTTCTCAAATATATAATATAGTATATATATATATATATATATATAATATATATATATTATATATATATAATAATATATATATATATTATTTATATATATTATCATATATATAAATATATATACTAAAACAGACACGCACAGCACGGATGGAAATGATTTTATATTTATTCTTAAGTTCTCCCCAGAAATAGACCTGAATATTTCCTTATAGAACATAGAAAAAACTAAAACAGAGTAATAATATCTCAAATTATAAGAACGAAAGCACAACATACATTATTGAGAAGTTTTATTTAGGGTTGCCATTCTACTGCACGAAGTAAGCTTCCAAAAGCATGCTCCAACTCATTTGTGTTGAGTTTTTAAAGCCACATAAGCTTCACGGCTGCTCTCTGTCTCACATCTAATAATCTTCCTCCCTGACCACAACGGGTAATCAATGGCGCGACTAATGGAATAGTATCAGATCTACGTTAATGAGGATTACAAAACGGAGCACCAATTATGTCCAAAAGTATAATACACGAATGCACCCACACAAAAAAAAAAAGAAAAAAGAAAAAAAACATGTTCCTTATGTTTCATGCTTGATGCCCCTCCCCTTTGAAATTCTGAATGCTACAGAACATTACTCAGATTCTATAAATCTCGGAAAAATAATAATATGGCCCAATTTTCATGACCAAATGCCAATCTGGCATAAAAAATTTCTGAATTGTTGGCAATTAATCTTACTAAGAAAGAAAGTGCATTTCTACAAAACACAAACCTATAATACCAGTTGGTGGATCCGCATAGTAGGTAAAAAAACAATAACAATAAGTATAATAATAATAATAAAGTGTTGTTTGAGGATGAATACAAAGTTATCAAATTAAAGTGTAGGCGAAGTGGAACTCAAAGGCTCTGACAGAAAGAGGCCTGGCAGTAGACTAGGGAAGAGTCTAAAGAGTATGTTGTTTGAGGAAGCTTCACAGTCATATCAACAAGTTTCTTTTATCCAATAAATACGCTTTTTAAGTATGTAAACTCGGATTTGCTATTATCTTGAGAGATCCAACACTGATGAGATGGCACGTGAATCTGTGATCATCCTGTAGTGAAGTGTCGAAGAAAGATAACGCTGATGTATCACCATTTAAAGGACGGTTAGCGGAGTGAAATTTAAGATCTTAGTAATATCTTCAATGCCTTGAAACTACAACTGGGGACTCGAATTGCTGCATCCCTCTCAGTGCATCTTTCAATATATTGTTAACCAATTCCGTGGAACACACTGTTTTATAAATAAAGGCATTGAACACTAGGAGAAAATAACTAATTTTATTGTCGTAACTGAACCCATGACCTCTTTTTTTTTAACTATTGATTCTGTGATACCATACTGGTAACTGCTTTATCCAAAAGAATAAGCTGACAGATAGTGCATCCACATAGAATTAAAGCCAAAAAAGTTCAAAAAGCTTCCCAATATTCCTTTTCTTCTATGATATAAACATGATACTCTCTTACCTATCATCATCCTGCTCAAGTTCCTCACCATCAATATTGACTTTTGCTGACCTTTCACCAACCAGCTGACGAGAAAGCTTCTCTGACAAGTACATCTCAGCCATATCCATATCATCATCCAACAGATGCTCAAGTTCATCACTTACCTATTAGATGCAGAAAAGGCAATGAGTTTCAAAAAGTTAAACGAGCGGGAAAAAATAAAGGAAACTAAAAATGTATCTATATCAATAGTAGCTTTTAGCAGAAAAAAGAAAGTCTCAGATCATAAAAAAGGTTCTACAAAAGAGACGCTGTTTTACATTGCATGAATAAACATCTGATAAGTTAAATTGTGATTTACAGATCTAAATGATCATCCGGTTGACTATATGAAGTTAAGAGAAAAAAACATACAGAAAATATGGTAAACATCTCACCTTTTGGACACGGCCAGATATCGCAACCAAGCGACTCTTTAGTTGTCTGACACGCTCAAGGTTGAGTGTACTGAGTTTTGAAGTCAACTCATCTAAAGCGGGATAGGCCTCTTTCTCCAATGTTGATGTCTGGTATAAATGAACAAAGGGATACTTCAAAAATAATATGGAAAGAAATTGTACTGAAGATTTTCAATGAAGTTTCAATCTCTGGGAAATAGAAAGAAAATAAGTGCATATGGAACTAAATATGATAATGAAACCATCATAAACATCAAATGCTTCTTCAGGCTGGCTATGAAGTTAAAAGGACATCATATTATAATTAAAAAGGGTTAATTTCACTAAACACCCAATAAGTTTGAGCATCCGTCACCTTAACCCCAAGGAATTCTTTTTGAAACTCTCACTAAACCCCTAATAACTATGGGGATTCCAGAAAACCCCTAAGACTTTTTAATTTTTTTCACTTAACCCCAATGACTACTTTATGATGTTTACGTGATGTTCTCCATTTAGGAGGTCAAATTATGGGCTGAAATCATCATGGGGGTTAAGTGAAAAATAAATGTTTTGGGGAGTTTTTTGAAAATTCCCGAAGCAAGTTTACTGAGAGTTCCAATATTTTTGGGGGTTAAGTGTCAAATGCCCTAACTTATTGGAGCTTTAGTGAAATTTACCCTTAAAAAAAATTTCTACCAGCTATAGCTTTGATATCATGCCTTGATAAGTATGTTAAATTCCTGGCCAGAGAAACTATGAGCAATTGGTGTACCATAAAACCTCAATATTCAATCACTGATCAGGTACATTACCATTCAGTTTTGCAGTTTAGGCTGATATAAACAAGAAACAGCCTTCCGGGTTATCATAAAAAGGAAACATTTATGCAAAGAGGTAATAGATATACTCAATTTATAGGCATAAAAAGGAACAGAAGGAACACTGCTTGGCAAAGATGCTGAAATTATTTCAAGTAAATTATGAATCGCATAAGATTTATAATCGTTATGTGAATACTGGAATGCTCATGCATTCATAATTATGCCATGTCTTCATCTCTCCAAACTGGTTACAGTGAGACATACTAAAATATGTCAATTAACACTCTGTTCATTAGATTGACTCCATGAAGTAGCTGTACTTTTCGACAACCATGACAGATTTTAAGAAACTTAATTTTAGTTGTGAACAATGACATAATAAACTTTACAGACAGGAGATGCTCTTGATTCTAAAATGTCTATAAAATATTCTCAGCCACGTGACTTATATGAGCTGTAAGGAAATAACATATGTATACACTTGAGTAAAGACACATATTATCCTGCGATTTAACTGGAAGTTATGGTGAAATGGATCGGATACGGGTTGATGGTAGTAGATCTATATGTGATTGCATTTAGCAGATACAAATACAATTATAGATATCAAATAGTTATGCAAGATATATATCCATATTTTATCTCAGTTAAAGGGAGGTCTGAGATCATAGCAAGCACAGGAAAGATGCAGTTATTAGGCTAATTACCAACTGTAAAGGTGTTCAATGAAGCAAAAACATATTAACACACTAATGGGAAAGAGAGAGAAAAGTCCATGGAACAATGCACTGCTGTCTCAAATTAGCAAATGGCATACCTCAGATTCCAGGCACCTGCAAGCTGATTCAAGGCATACTTCAAGTGCTCTGAACTCAAAGGGCAACACTTTGGCGGCCCCGTCTTTTCGGGAACTGGATGCAGGAGCAGAACTCCCTTCTGGAATTTCACCACTTGGTACGTTGGGGAATGTAGCATGTGGCCTGGTAATCCCTGTTCCTTGTCTTCCTGCGACATGATGACTGGGAAACGAAGGCCAGGATGATGTAGCCTTAGACCTAGCCTCACTACTGACGTCACTGGATTCCATACCCTTCAGGTAGAAATATTATTAATATCGCCGATACACTATTTGGACCTAAATAGATGTAGGTAAACCATCACATGCTTAAACTGTAGGCAGCATAGTACATAAACACTGAACATGGGTGGTAAGTATACCGTATACTATACGCTTCAGCCAATATATATGTTTGCATTTAGTATGCTTTTCCTCTATAAACTAGGTATAGACATACACTTAAATGCTGATCATTTGTATTCGAAAATATAACTTCAGGTGCTACAAAGTTTGCAGTTTTCAAACATCTCCTCAAAAATGTTGGCAGTGCAAACAAATACTAAATGTTAACTGACTGATATACGTAAGTTTACCGGGAGGATAAAACTGTGATAATAACAATAAACTCAATTGCATATTTGTGGGAAAATATATTATATACTCGCAGGACTTATGATAGATTACATAAACCAAGCTACTCTTTTTAGGATAAACCATAAATCCTGTGAGATTTTGCCATCAAACTAGTGAGAAATACAAAAGATATAATCTTTTTTAATACTGCAATGGATTAATTGTGGAATTAAACAAGAACTCCAAAAAATAATAATAATAAAATCAATTACGTGGTGATGCGCGCCATCAGAGCTCGAAACCCTAACCCTCAGATCCTGAACAAAGGGCCCCACCATAGGATCCTTCGAGTTAGGTACCAGCACCTCGGCCGCGGTAACAATCGCCTTGATATGCTCGAGATTGATAACGATCGCCCTCTCTCTCCCCAGAATCGTCGAAGGATAAGAAAGCAGGGGGTCGAGCACGCGCATGTCACGCGCGGGGAGCCCCGTCCTCTTCATGATCGAGTGCTTGCCGACCTCCTCCAGGTACGA